ATACTGAGTTTTAGTTGTGGGTATCAATACATCCTCTCCAGATGTGCTGGAATTTCCAATCAGTATGGGCACATATATCTGGAATGCAATAAGTTGGGGAAGTTTAGCTTTAGTTCCAACTTTCAGTTTTGTACTTTACTTTTTTCAGTGTATAGTTACAAATATGGTATTTGATTATATCTACCAAAGAGACAAGCTCTTCTGTTTCTTTTCTATTATCCAAGTAATTTAATGGTATTCCCCAACTTGAAAGGAGTAGTTGAGAAATTAATAGCTCAGAATCAAGATGAATATGGATAGTCTTAGATTGTTATCTAGGTTAGAGCATGGGTTTGAGTTCAAGTGACTGTGTTAATGAGATGCATTCTGGGTGGTTCAAGGAATCATAAACTAATTTTTGTGTGTAAGACTAGAGTATATGTATATTTATTCAATTTACCATGCGTTTAGACTCTTCTGGTTTGCGTGTGACCACATACCAAACAGATTATAGAATCTTACATGTAAAGAAAAATTACATAAATTATAAGTTAGTGTATTAAAGATTATTATCAGTACTCTCAAGAAGGATCTAAATCAATCCTTTGCCCTCATATAAAAATGCCCATATGTTAAATATTTTTATGCGTAGCCCTAAATCTTCTTATCAGCTTCAGGAAGTGATTCCAAGTATTTGAGAAGGATAAATATCCAGCACTCCTTTTAGATTTTTTTTGTCCTATAGATAAGTATTTCATTCCAAGGAGGAATAGCCATAGTTTATAGCCCACAAGGAACCCTTGGTTCTGTTTTCCTATTGGCATCCCCAAAGGTGCTTTTCAAAAGCCAACTGGACTTCCTTTGTTGTTTCCTTGAAGACATTTCGCTTCTCATCCAAGAAGCTTCTTCAGTTCTGATCAAATGGCAGGGAATGGTTCCATTCAATCACACTGATAATATGGCCAGTGGGAAAATGCTTGTGGATATTCTCACTCATCCAGGCCATGGTTGTCCCAAAGGTGCTTTTCAAAAGGGAATGATTCCATTCCCTGCTATTCAGACAGAACTGAAGAAGCTTCTTGGATGAGAAGGAAAAAAGTCTTCAAGGAAAAACAAAGTCCACTTGCCTTTTGGAAAACCATCTTTGGACAACCATGACCTGGATGACTGAGAATCTCCATAAGCATTTTCCTGCTGGCTATATTATCAATTTGACTGATCAGTGGGGAGCAGTTTGCTAGTTTACTGTTAATAGTAGCAGAAAATTAGAATATTCAATTATCCTTAGGAGATGGAGAAAGCCTTGTTTTCTCTCTAATCCTGCTCATAGTCCTTGAGGATGTGAATGGGAAAAGGCCAAAAACGGGGGGGGGGGGGGGAGGGGGAATNTGAGGATGTGAATGGGAAAAGGCCAAAAACGGGGGGGGGGGGGGGAATGTGAATTGCATGACTGGAATGCTGTAACCAGTGGGGGTGCCATTGTTGGAACTCTGGAACCAGTTCATATATAGCTTTGGGGGGAGGGTGTCAATCATAACTTCAAATTACGATGGTCACTGTGACTGTTAAATGAGGACTATATTCTAATATAGATCATATGTCTTTTATGAAACTTAGTATTTTATTTTCAACAATCTTTCTAAGTGTATCTCATCTCATGATGTGACATAGAGTTCTGTGGTTGCATATGAACAGTGTGGCCTATATTCATACTTTCAGTTAAGAATTACCTTTTATAGCACCAATCAAATATGCAACAATAGTTTTTTTGTATATGGAGAAGAAAAGGGAAAAAAAACTTAGCTTGATGTATTTTTACACAACTCACTATTAGAGGTATGCCATATTATGGGAAAATAACTGCCAGCATCATTTCTTCTTGTACTTCCTACATTAAGACTCCTTTCTTGCTGATGTTTTCAGGAATGTAGGGATTTGCAGTTTTTTGCATTCAATTTGGAAAAAACAACTCGGAGCACATGAGAATGAAAACATTTATGTCTTTTCACAGGATTGTTCAGTCATGGAAAAAGGTGGCTACTTAAAAAAACAACAGCTGCAGACTGCTGCTACATTTGTGACCTTGCATGCTTTGAAATATTTTTTTAAATGAAATCCAAAGCATTATACAGCTTCAGAGAATCATTCACGTAGTTTGATCCTAAGCATAGCAAAAGATTGCATCATGAGGAGGAGTGGGACAGTTTATAACATTATTTAATAAACATTGACAAAACAAAGTTGCAGGCCACTTTAAAAATGATACTTCCACTCTGATAATTTTTGATCTTAAGCATGGACATGATTCTGTTCATTATAACTTATTGGTGTGAGATACTGCACAGAATTGTAATCACTATCCTAGATATAACCATCACTCAGTCATGCTTATTTTTTCACAAAAAGTTTCTTATGTTAATGATTTAGCCTTAAATCGTTTATATTAGAATGAATTTGAATCTAACCAACAAATGACATGTTTGAACACAGTCAATCTAACAAATGGAATCGGAATGATAATGCTGGTTGGAGTAAACTTATGTTTACTGATTTTACTTTATATTATAAATCCCCATCCTATTTATTACTTAAGCAACATATTTACATCAAGCTACTCTGCTTAGAGACAGGTCTCACAATTGGCTGACAATCTGAGAATGATGCTGCATAATTTTTTTTTTTTTTTTTTAATTTTGTTTTAATTTATATACCGCCCTTCTCCCGCAGGACTCAGGGCGGTGCACAGCGTATTAAAAACAGTACAAATACAAAGCATAAAAATACAAACCCCTGTAAAACCAGATTAAAAAACCGAATATTAGAAGCTGTGTCTCTATTTAAAATTATTTTTAAAATCACCCTAAATAAAATCCTCCCTAGGTCAGGCCCGCTTGC